TCATTACCTCAGTGGGATTCACTCATATTGTCCCATGCAGCTGTATGTAGATCGTCCGTTCCCACTGCTGTGTAGTAGCCAGTGTGTGAATGTACTGTGCAGAGGCATTTGAGCAGCTTCTAATTTGGAGCTGGTGAGAATATTCTAGTATATATATCCATCTTTTCTTGTGTATAAATGAGGTTTTACATAAGCACAGTGTTCAAATATGATTGGCACCTCTTTGCTTTTCCATGTGTATTTTGTTACATCTTTTGAGTATCTTTTGAAGTATCTGGAAGGGGTTGTTTCAGAAGACAGGGCATACATGTTCAAAGGTGCCATTAGCATACAGTATAATTTTTAAAGATGTTGTCATTATAAATTGTACAGAGGCATTGCTGGGAATAGTTTTGCCAACCTTAGGCAAAAATGAATTGAGGAAAATTTCTTTAATGTCCTTGAGTTTTGCTTTTTATTCTTTTAATCCTTAGAGGAGAATAACAATTTTTGATACCTTTAGACTAATCAACAAATAGACTTTAGTTTTGACTCATCCCATAGGTTATTTCATCTTCCTTGAGGACTTTCAAAGCCTATTGCCAGGATCCCACCTGAATCTTAAAAATGGGGTGGTGAGGAACAAGTCTGTTGTTCCCTTCCTTCAGCTGTTTCCAAACTTTGGAGCCTGGACATCTGATAGGCCCCAGAAGTCTGTTGATAAGTCTCTACTAAGTATAGAATGAAATGATGTATATGTAAAAATCTATATTTACTGAGTTAATAGATAATTAAAAACACAATAGCAAACTGAGGACAACTGACCTGGTTAAGTAGTAATGCATTATTTACTTATATCTGGACTAGCCTAAGAAATCTTAGCAATTTGGTGAGCATGTTTGGGCAAAGCACTGTCTATGTTGGGGAACGGTGAGTAAGGCATGGAACTGACAAAGACAGGACCTGATCAGGGCCTTCAAAGTTCACAGTGGGTAGATACATCAGTTTTCAGGCTATTTCAAAAGAAATAAGCGTGTATTAGTGAAACTGCTTTTATTCAAAATAAATTTTATGAAAATATTTTTCATCACCCTTTTTAATGTTTATTTTTAGCTATTTAAATGAAAGATTACGTTTTTAAAATGTTGTTCCAGAGTTAAATGGATTAATTCATATGTAGGGTCACCTTCCTGCATCGTGCTTTTCTTTTTGTTTTCTGATTTGGGTAAGCTCTAGGGGTGAAATGACCAGATTAGTAATACGTAGGCTACCAGATGGTAGTCAGTCTGTGGGGATGTTTAAATCATTTAGTCTAAAGCAGTATTTCCCAGTATTTTGGTAGCACTCTGTTCTATCTGTGGGTCCTCCATACTCCCATGAGCCTCAGTGTAGCCCAACCAAAAGCCAGACAGCAGTGATCAAAGGAGAGTGGTTTTTAGTCCCAGGTGTTGCTCCTCCCTTTCATGCGCATGTTTTTGTTCTACTCTGTATTGCTTGGGCAGTGTCTCTTCAGACTAGTGCTCAAAAACAAAATGAATAACATCATCTGCATTCAGATTTTGATTATCTGGAAAAAAATGTGTATTCCTTTGGTTCTTATGGTGACTATGTATATGATTATGTAAGTGGGGTTTTTTTTTAAACAATTAACTTGAATATTTTTCGTTCTGGGAAGTCAGTTTTTCCTGATGACCCTTTCCCAGCTCTTCTCACACCTTCCTCCGTTGTGTTTGTTGCAGGGCCCAATGTAAAGGCCGTGGCTACTGCTGTGGAACAGATCTACCCATTTGTGTTTGAAAGCAGGAAAGAAATTTTATAATTCATCCCTTAATTGGTTAGAATCTCTAACTGAGCACCTTTTAAAACCTGCTGCACATTGGACTCAAAAGGAAAACTGGACCAACAGTAACTGAGGAAATAGACTCTTTTATTCATTCGCGGCTACAGTGTAAGCTCCAGTCCCTTTGGATTTTATTCCAATCTTGCTGTAATATAAAAAGGAAGTTTACAAGACATGACATTGCTGCTTTTACTAAAGGACATTCTATTTATTTTCGCAGTAATTCTCATGTCCCCATAAGCAGAGCTGTCACAGTGTGCACTACCTTAGATTGTTGTATTGTTGTCATTGTTATTTTTTTCCAGTTTGAGCTGATGTGTTTTATTTGTGAATAGTCTTTTACATTTTTGTATGCTGAATATGGGCACCAAAGAACCTGTAAAAGTTATCTTTTTCAATTGAATGTGCACAAATAAAAGTTTGGAAAAGATCTCTCTTCATATTCATTCTGTAACTTTTATTCCCCATTTTCTATTTTAACAAGAATTGTATTCATAACTCTTTTTTTTTTTAAACTATGCAAGCTTAGATTTTGGCTAAAGTGTATTGGCTTCTTTTTAAAGTGATATATATGCCACATGTGTACGGTATCTTTTAATATCTGTTACCAAATATCAACTAGAATTTTTTTCTTGCAGACCAGAAGTAAAAAAACATGTCAATAAACTGTAGGGAATCAGAGTAGAACTTTATAGATAAAGGATAATGTTTTATGATGCTAATTTAATATGATAGAGAATGTTAAATAACTTTTAAATGTTAAGAAGAAAAAGTTAAATGTTAAAAAGAGAAACTTCTTACGCACTAGATGGACATGAGAAGGAAGCTGTGGAGGGGTATGCCTGGCTTGGACCTATGTTATTCTGGAAAGACTCAACACCTGTAGTTGTAGGGAAGTGATGGAGTTCTTGACTTATTAATCTTAGATTGTCAGAAGTTGAAGACATTGTGCTGTTTTAACAGGAAGTGCCCACAAGCTGCCTGTGTGCCACAGTATACTTATATGTAGCTCCACTTGAACTTGAAAGCCATGTTGTGAGATAATGTCTTTCCCCTTGCTGTGTCTGTCTTAATGGAGCTAAAAAAGAGTGACTATTTAGTACATGGGATTGCTACTGTTAAATTTATAATAAATATGTATTTGTGAAACAATGTCTCTGGCTCACCCATGAGCCCTGGAGTAGTCATACAGCTTTTTTGTTAAACTGAAGTTGCATTCTGCCACTTAGGCTTAAAAGTTGAGTATAACCAGCAGTGATTTTTACCTAGAAATAAAGCTGAGTGAAGAGTCAAATTAGTTTCTCAGAAGAAACTTAATAGAGACAATATGCCAAAACGGTCTTCCACAAAAACTTGAATTTCCAAACTGTTTTGAATCCTCTATGGAAAATTCAATATCTTAGCCTCCATATATAGTATTTTTTTCTTACCATATTAGTAAATCTTGAAAACCTAGCGTAACCACTGCACTGAACAATACATATTATTTTAATCTTCCTTCTTCTCAATGCCTTCCCCTACCCTGCCTCTCACTCCCTCTAAGGTAAGGAATAAAAACTAACTTTTATATTTGTCTTTCTCATGAAAGATTTCATTGTGATTTTTAGACTTTTATTTTTCTCTTTTCCAAAATTTCTGGTTATTTACTTTATTTTAAGATCAGTAGGAGGGCCAAATCCATAAATACTGATAATAAAATTATATGAAAGAGTTACAGGCAGATAGATTTACAAATTTGAGATTTTTTTCGCTTAGTTTTAATTAACAGTAGTAAATGACTGCCTATTTTGCAGGTTCACCCCCCAAAAAAAGAAAAGAAATATAGAATGAGGGAGAAGCATGATATAGTCAAGGTACAGAGCCAGATGATATATTCAGTATTCACATGACTTGAAAACGGCATATCCATAGCTAATTGAAATGCTTTATCTGAAAAGGAGAGGGAAAGACAGTCTGACCAGGCCTGAGTTCAGGGCCACTGAATGAGCCCCATCAAAATGTCCATGGTTAATCCACTAAACCTAACAGATCTGGGAAGAAATGAGTTTGTCTGATGGCTTCTGCTGGCTTTCTACAAATACTGTAAATTTTTTTAAAAAATAAAAACACTATATACATAAAATTATAAGTATTACCCCCCCCCCTTTTTTTTTTTGAAAACCCAAAAGCTTGAATGGATTTGATTGGGTGATGGGTATTGGGTAAAAATAGGCTTGAAGGCAAAATTGTTTAGTTGCAGACTCAGGTTAATAAAATAAAAATATAAGAGAATGATTAAGATACTGAAGTTGAGGTCACTAGTAATAAACCAGCTATAATGATAACACAGTTCCTCCTGCCCATCTACAAAGAAAAGCTAAACCAAGAAGTAGCTAAAGTATACATAGTGATTGAACCTCAAAGGACATGGAACAGTTTTGTTAAATATCTGTGATGCTTGGCAAAGAAAATGAAAGTTCATATTGATAACCTGTCTTGATTTTTTTCAAATAGAACACACTTTCCCTTCTCTTTCCAAAACAAACATAAAATAACGCATGATCTGGCTTACATATGAAATGTACCATGATAGGATTAAGATCTCAAATCTCCTTTCCTTCTAACTTCCTCCTGCCAGTTTTTAGATAATACATGTCATAACCAGGACTGAGTCATTCTCCTGAGTCTTTGATAATACAGCTTTACTACTGCTCACGTAGATTCAGTTTTTTTCACTTGTTATAAGGGAATGTAGTGGACCATGTACTCTTACAGCTAGCTGGGAAAGCTTGTTCGAGACCAGTAAAAAAAACTTGAAGCTAAATAAAAAGTTTAGGCTCTTAGGGAATACTCTTTTCTTCAGGTTTATCATATTTTTTAAAATTATTTTTCAAGTTAGGTTGTTCGTACTTTGTGTCTGTGTGTCTTCCATAACTTATAACACTAGTGATTTAATGGGCTACAACTTAATGTTTAAGGTTTTGTGTTTTTTTTTTTTTTATTTGGAGTCTTACTCCATCACCCAGGCTAGAGTGCAGTGGCACACTCACGGCCACCCCAGCCTCGACCTGCTGGGCTCTGGCGATCCTTCCACCTCAGCCTTCCAACTAGGCGGAACTACAGGCCTGTGCTACCATACCCGGCTAATTTTTTAATTTATTGTAGAGACTAGGTCTCATCAAGTTGCCCAGGCTGGTCTCGAACTCTCAGGCTCAGGCAATCCACTCACCTCGGCCCACCAAAGTGCTGGGATTACAAAGTTTAAGGTTCTTTATTGTGGATTTTCTATCATACCCAAATTCTAACAGTAAAATGTCTTTCCAAGACTTAAAAATCAACTGGAGAAAAATAGAAGCGAGCAGTCCATCGTTGTGTGTGTGAAGACACTCACATTGCTGGTACAGGTTTCATCACAGAGAAGAGCATAGTGAGGGAATTGTCCTGATGCCTGAGTGTCATTTGTCGTGTCTGCAGTCATCTGGAAGTCAGCATCGATTATAGCCTGTGGGCTACACATAACCTGAGGTAGTGATACTCTTGAGGAGTTGGAAGAATTGGAGGAAACTGGGTTACCACACACTGTCATGAGAGTTTGACATGGAAGGAATTTGTATAGGCTTGACTTAATAACTTAAATCCAACTGCTTAGCAATTCAGATAAATAACCTAAGGGCCTACTCCTTTCCTAATGTTTTACTAATAGCTCTTTCTAAATAAAGATGGTCCCAGGATTTTAAAATTGTCTTTTCTATTCATTTTTTAATGGAAAAACGCTCAACTTACTGCAGAATTGTTTCTTTTAATATTTTACAGTATTAACATGACATTCATAAAAGAATATTTTGCATTAAATTGTTTATAATTCATAAAGTAAGCTGTGTAATCTTTGTACTTGTTGAACTGAAACTAGAAATTATGACTAAAATCCTAACCCGGGTTCTCTCCTAATCTAGATAGAACATATGTGTAATTAAATTGTCCACGTTGTATGTTCTGGTTCTTTTTTACAGAAGACCCAGTGCAAGTAGTGTCATAGTAGGCAAAAACTATAAGCCCATGTCCAGGCCACTTGTGTGTCTGAATAATAAAGCTGAGACTGCCCTCCATACATAATGCAGCTTAAGGCAAAGGGTGATCTCACCACTAGAACCTAGTCTTTTCCAAGGCTGCTCTGTGAAAAAGGTAGAAAGTATTGAACCAGCCAGTATCTTTTTAACCTGATATTCCGCTCAGAATCAAAAAGAGATCACTGAAGCCCTTTTACCTCATCTACCTGTTCAGGTTTTGGGGGATGAGGGGATTAAAGGTTGTCCTGGCGGTTTATCTGCTTTGAAAAATTTGCCCATGGCAAGTCTTTCTGCCATGAATCTTCCTTCTTCCTTCTCTTTTTCTAATAAACTTTGTTTGAAAACTTAAAAAAAAGAAAGGTTGTCTTTATATTTTCAGAGTGTTCCTTTAAAATTTGCTCCATGATACTGAAAGGCAAACACAAGAGTGGCAATTACGGGGCCAGAGACGCCCCTTTTAAGGTGTTGGGGCCATTAGGTCTCAGAAAGCTGCCTAGGCTGTCCCCTAGCACACAGCTTGTTGCATTCCAAGAGCTGCTCTTGGGGGTTTCTTTTTTGAAGCTGTCTTGGCACTAATTCCTCTTGGTGATGACTCATAAAGCAAATGTTGTTTTTCACATAGTTCCTGAAAGAGAAAGAAGCACTAATGAAAATGTCATTCCTAGTTTACAGTACTTGAAAAAAATGTGCAGGCTATTATTTTTAAAATCACCCTGGGGCCTTAGTGTTTTAGCTATGCAAAGAAGACATGTTTTTATTGCAAAGCCTGCTCTATCCACAGAACTTGGGTCAATCTCATGCCCAGGGTGAGGCGGGTGTCTTCTGAAAACACAGTCACAGCAGTCGGCAGGGAAGGGTTTCAGGGATAGTATCACATGCAGAGAGCTATGGAGACTGCATCCCGGGCCCTATTTTGTTGTTTTCCATTTTTCAAACATCACTGTGCCTGTATTTGTATCTACATATCCTGCCTTCTGCATACTCCCCTCATTCCTGAATTAACATTTTTCTCCTACAGGATTATTCCCATCAGCATAAAAATATGCTGTAGTACTTTGCCTTTATTTAAAGAGAGGGCTGCCTTTGAACCTTCTCCGTTTTCAAATATCTTTATCTGTAGTGCCACTAGTTAGTTGAGTGGCCGCATGTGCAGGTGGCGTGGATTAGGCAGGTGAAGACTGCTGCTTTCAGGAAGCTTGCGTACACTTCGGCAGAGGAGACAAGCACATGAGCATGTCCTCTGAAGTAGAAGTGCTCATGAGAAGTAGACAGGAAGGGGAGAAGAATGATTTGAGTTGGGTGGCGATGGGGCTATGCCAGACAGGGCGGCATCTCGCTCAAGGGGTGACACGTTATCAGAAACGAATGAATTAGAGATGGAACCCTGTGAAGAATTCCAGAGACCTGAGAAGTGGGGCGGGAAAGTGGGTAGGTTTCTTGCAGCTTGAGGCCTAGGCAGTTGCTTTTCTAGAATGGAAAAGACTGCAGCTGTGTGTGTCTAATGATAATGCCACGGAAGGGGAAAATGGATGCTGCAGGCAATGCAGAAATGGAAACATCAGCTTTTGCAACAAGGCAGAGCACGTGGGCAGAGGTGGAGGTAGGTTAGTAGATCTCGTGTCGGGAGAATGAGGTGGTCCCTTCGTTTCTGTTTCTCAGTGAACGGAAAAGCACAACCATCCGTGTGAGGAGGTGGGAGGCAGTACTGGAGGCCTGTAGGGAGCATGGGTGAGAAGTGATCATCTTGGAAGCAGGAGGTCAGTTCGCCAGGGAGACATGGTGGAGTGCAGGGCATTCCTCAAGACCCACTTGAGATCTGTGTTCATAAATTTAGCACAAGACAGGCCGGCATAGTTGCGTGTTTTTCTTCAGCCCCACTTAGCTCTTCAAATGCAGGGATAAAGTAAGAGTTAGTTTGACCAGAGTTAAGATTTGTCTGAAAAGCCGGGCTTGGTGGCTCAGCCTATAATCTCGCGCCTTTGGGAGGCTGAGGTGAGTGGATTGCCTGAGCCCGCGGGTTCGAGACCCACCTGGGCAGCGAGACCTCATCTCTACAATAAATTAAAAAACCAGCCAGGTGTGGTAGCGCACGCCTGTAGTTCCGGCTACTCGAAGGCTGCGGCGGAAGGATCGCCGGAGCCCAACAGGTCGAGGCTGCGGTGGCCGGGAGCGGCCACTGCACTCCAGTCTGGGCGACAGAGTGAGACTCCAACTCAAAAAAAAAAAGATTTGTGTGCATGAGGGAGGGAAGAAGGGGATTTGGTAAAAGGAGATTCCAAAGGAGTGACTTTGGTGGTGGTCCCCAGAATCAAAGCAGGGTAAGAAAAGAGGTGCGAATGTGGTGACGGATTCACAGGGGCTTTCAGGTCCTGGGGGCTGAGGATTTGAAGTGCAGCTACTTAAGAAAGTGGACTGGGGAGGAGGGTGGTCAGAGGGTAGGTGGGATGCTGGTGATGGGTAGCATGTCGAGGGTGTGAGCATCTTATGTGTCTGCTCCCTTCACAGCAAAACACCTGCAGGGAGTGGACTCTAGCCGATGTCACCATCCGTTTTGATCCTCAGTCCTTGTCATTCAGCTCTGTCCTCTCCCACAGATCCTGCATCTGCCAAGCCTGTGTTTCACCTCCCTGCTGGAGCCTGGCTCTGGCTTTTCTCCAGCCTTGCTGGTGCCTCCTTTCCAGTCCTTTTTGTCGCTGTCCTCTGCTGGATCTCCATTTCCTTCTCTGTCTGCTCTCTGGCCAGTGGATCTTAGCTGACTCCAGGACTTAAATACTATTGAGAGCTGATGGCTGCACACATTGGACTCTAACCCCAAGAATCTCTAATTTCTCACTTACATATCCAACTGCCTCCTAACGGTGTGTCACTTTGATGTCTGATGGACATCCCAAAATTAATATCTCCAAAACAGAACTCAGTTGTCCTCCAAACCCGAAAACCTTGTCTTTCAGGCTTCTCCCTCTTGCCCTCCATCCAGTTTCTCAAACTAAAACTTTTGGTGTCATCCTGACTACTTCATTACCTAACTCCTGTGTCCGTTTCATTCATTCATTTGTTTTTCTTATCCATTCAACGATGAGCTTCAATTATATGCCAAGGAAACGGTTCCAGGTGCTGAGAAACAGTGAACAAAATACGCACCATTCCCTGCCTTGAAGGAATTTGAATATAGTGAGAAGAAGTAGACAGTAAATCAAGTAAAACTATTTCAGCTTTGGTTAAAACTGAAGGATTAGTGTATGCAGTGTTGGGTACACGGTTGTAATTTTAAGTAGGGTGACAGAAAACGTCCGAAGGAAGTCAAGTAGGGAGGCAGGTGGATATCCAGGGAAAGAGAATTCTAGGCAGAAAATAAGCGCCATGAGCCTGAGCCCTGAGCGTGCCCGGGGTGTCCGGGATCAGCTTTGGCCCGAGTGCCTGTGAGAGTAAGGGGACAGGATGTTAGACAAGCAGGGCTGTGAGGACATCGGGAGCTTGTGTTCTGGATGGAGAGCCACTGCAGGGTGTGAGCAAAGGAATGCCTTGAGTGCATTTAAGGGGTCACTGGCTGCATGTAGGGAATAGATTAGAAGGGATACAGGTGGAAACGGGGACCAGGCAGTGGCTATTCCAGCAATCCAGGAAGGTCAGGGTGACTGCACCCAGGGCGACAGTGGTCAGACTCTGAAGACGTCTTAAGTAGCAGCCAGCACAGCTTCCTGACAGACTGAACATGGGATGTGAAAGAAAGTCGGGAAAGACTCCAAGGCTTGTGGCCAGAGCAAGTCAAAAGAAATGCTGACATCCACTGAGTTGGGTGAGACTGCAGGTAGAATAGGTTTGGGAACATCACGGGCTCAATTCAGGGCATTCTAGGCTGAGATAACTGTTAAGACATTGGGGCTGGGCATGGTGGCTCAGCATATCATCCCAGCATTTTGGGAGGCCGAGGCGAGAGGATTGCCTGAGCCCTGGGGGTTCAAGACCAACCTGGGCAACTTGGTGAGACCTCGTCTCTACAATAAATCACTAAAATGAACCGGGCGTGGTGATGTGCGCCTGTTGTTCCAGCTATTTAGAAGACCAAAGCGGAAGGATCACCTGAGCTCAGCAGGTTGAGGCTGCGGTGGCTGTGAGTGTGCCACTGCACTCCAGCCTGGGCGACAGAGTGAGACTCCAACTCAAAAAAAAAAAATTTCTTTTAAAAAAATAAAAGAAGGAAAGAATCACAGCCGGTTTCTATGCCAACGGAGAGAGAGATCAAAATATAGCGCATGCCACAGCAAGCGGGGAACACTGCTGGAGAAGGGAGGGTGGAGGGGACATGCAGGAACTGGCCTCATGAGAACAGACCCAGAGGATGCTCGTGCACTTGGATACAATGACTGACGCGTGGGATGATGTGGAAGGGGTTGGAAGTTTCCTCCTGACGATGTCCATGCATCAGAAGCAAGGGCATCCCTGGGGAGCGAGGAGGATTCCAGGGAGAAGGTGGTGGTGTGCATTCGTCCAGGAGAGGGACAGAGTCGACGGATCAGGGACATGTGAGATGGCCTGGCAGCCATGAGGGCCACGTGAGGCCTTGATCAGCACCGTGCACACGTGCTTTCTCGTCCTCCTCCAGCTGGTGACTGCAGACGCGCTTGGGCACGCCTTGAAATGTCAGTCTGATCATGTCCCTTCCCCGCTGAAAAACCTCCAGGAGCTTCCACTGCACCAAGAATGAAACTCCAGCTCTCCACACAGCCCGCAAAGCCCTGCACACTAGTCTCTACCTCCTTTCTGACTCAGTCTGAAAGATGACAGCCTCCTGGACTGACTTACCTCCTGGAACAGGTCGAGCATGTTTTTGACTTAAACTTCGCACTAGCTGTTTTCTCTGCCTGAATTCCCACCCCCCGCCCCGCCCATCTTCTCAGGGTTGGCTCTTTACTATCACCTAGGTTTAGATGGGTCATTTATATCAACAATGTGTGGCAGCTCAGCGCACCTGCCCATGCCCCACTGGGTGTTTTTTACTAAAAATGGCATGACCCCCCCCCATGCCCCACCCTCCCTATTCACCTGGTCTTACCCTGAGCAACAATTTTTTTTTTCTTTCCCTGGATGGAAAAAAAAAAAAAAAAAGTCCTCAAAAGGAAATGTTTTACCAATGTGGAAGTAGTGAAACAAAAAATGGCAGAAGCACTAAAAGCCATCCAAATTGACGAGTTGCTGATGAAAAAAGCATCTCAATAAGGGTATTACATCAAATAGAGGGTACTTTGAAAGTGACTGAAGGTGAAACATGTAAGAGTAAATACACAATGTGGTTTATAAATATTATCACCTAGATTCTATCTTTTTGAATCGAAGTCTCACTCCGTCGCCCAGGCTGGAGTGCAGTGGCACGCTCCCGGCCACCGCACCCTCGACCTGCTGGGCTTGCAATCCTTCCGCCTCAGCCTCCCAAGTAGCTGGAACTACAAGGTGCGCACCACCATGCCCGGCTTATTTTCTGACTTATTGCAGAGACGAGGTCTCACCAAGTTTCCCAGGCTGGTTAGGTTTTCTCTTAAATGTCACCACTCAGAATAACCTCCCCAGATCACCCACCCAGTCAAAAGTAGCCCCTTAGTCACTTACTGTCTAATCGGCACATTTGAATCCTGGTGATGGTTATACTTGCTGATAACGTTGTAGAACATAGCTCAGTGCCTGGCATATATACAAGCTCAATAAATATTTATTGAATAAATTAATTTGAATGAATGAATGAATGAATGAAGAAATGGCCACATCAAATTAACTGCTAAACGTGAACAAAATGTAAGCTTCAGAACTAAAATATTTACAAAACATGAACTTGTTTGTTTTCTCGATTTGTGCCCACTTAAACTGGGAGGGGAAAGTAAATAAAGTCTCAGCTGAAATAGCAAAGATGGCAGACGTCCCATTCTGAGTGTGTTGCTGGCAAGGCAGAAGTTCACAATAACATCCCTTCAAATGACATTATTATAGAAATTCCTTCTGATCTCTCAGCTGAGTCACTGTTTATTTTATAAGAAACTTGACATCCTTGGAAGAACATTTGTTTTCTCAGCTTTGCCGAAATAGGGGTAAAAGAACCCCACTCCAGATATGAGAAGAAAATGTTAAGCAATGTGAAGGATCAAATTTGAAATTATGATAGTTTCCTTTCTTCTTAGAAATAGTCGTTGGGATTTATACATCAGGACTGTTGCCCTGGTGACAAAGTTGATTAATTGTTTTATTAACTTCTAAATTCCTAAAGGCTCTCCTAACTGGGCTCCCTCATTCTTCAAGTTCACTTCGGTTTCTGTGTACTAGCAAGTCCCATGGAAAGTTTTCTACTGCTGCCTCTCATATCCTTCACTAATTTGATAACTTGTTTTTTGTCTCTGACATTTCTCTCTTAGAAGCTTTATTGAACATATATAATTTGTATATATGAGGGGGAGCCCCCCCCAAAACTGGGATCACTTTTTGGGGGGTGGGCCCCTTGTAGTACACTCAGAATTTGTTCCTGCAGATCAAATAGTGAACCAAAGTTTTTATCTGGAAGTTTTTAGAATGTTGTGTCATGATTGGTGGAAGAAACATCCAGACTTGTGGCAAGCAGGTGGCTGGTTCTTCCACCATGACAATGCACCTGCTCACATCACTCTGAGTGTTCAGCAGTTTTTTACCAATTCTGGCATGAACCCCATGCCCCAACCTCCCTATCCATCCGATCTTGCCCCCAGTGACTTTTTTTTGTTTCCCTGGATGAAAGATGTCCTTAAACGAATTGTTTTGCTGATGTGGAAGAAGTGAAACGAAAAATGGCAGAAGCACTAAAAGGCATCAAAGTTGATGAGTTCAAAAAGTTTCTTGAGCAGTATAAAAAGCGTCTCGATGGGTGTATTGCATCAAACGGAGAGCACTTTGAAGGTGACTGAAGATTAAACATGTAAGAATAAGCCGGGCTCGGTGGCTCAGCCTGTAATCCCACGCCTTTGGGAGGCTGAGGTGAGTGGATTGCCTGAGCCCGCGGGTTCGAGACCCGCCTGGTCAGACGAGACCTCATCTCTACAATAAATAAATAAAAAAAAATCAGCTGGGCGTGGTAGTGCATGCCTGTAATTCCGGCTACTCGGAAAGCTGAGGCAGAAGGATCGCCGGAGCCCAGCAGGCGAGGCTGCGGTGGCCGGGAGCGGCCACTGCACTCCAGTCTGGATGACAGAGTGAGACTCCAACTCAAAAAAAAAAAAAAGCATGTAAGAATAAATACACAATTTTTCATAAGTAAATTCCATTTTTTTATGGGTCACCCCCTTGTACTTTGGTCATTTTACACGAACCAGCTACTCACATTGTCCTTTCAAAAGGCTTTGCCAAGCTGCTGCTTCACCTGAGAAAATCCTCTGGCTCACAAGTATTGCATGAATGGGAGATAACCAAGATCTCTAAAAGCAACTTTTCCTTTTTGCCCTCTAGACTGGGTTTCCCCACGATGCATGCCTAGTAGGTGCTACTATTCCCATAATGACTTTAAAATGTAGAATTGTTTTGCCATCTCATCTTCCATAATTATCTGCAGCAGTGCCTCTGTCTGTTTCCGTTCTTCTACACACACCTGGTAGTACTCGTGTGGTGTGTTTTTGAGGTCGATGGTACCTTTGGCTTTTGGTCCCCTCCTCATTTGCAATTTATAACTTTCTTGGGGAGGGCCTGGCTTTAAGTTTGAGTAATGGTATGACTCTAAAGTAACAGAAATGTGATTCTTTCAAAAACATTTTACAAGTCAGAATTTTAGTAATTTAGACAGATTCTCTCCCCACCCTAAATTCTGACTTAATAAGTCTTGTTGAGTTTTAGATACCCACATCATATGTTTTTAAGGAATATCTTAAGCCCACTTCTGGAAGCCTACTAGATGGAAAGATTAGATTTTCTTAAGTTCTGCCTTCAAATTTTCATTTGGTTTGTAATTTGATACATTCTGAGAACCTCATATGAAAAACAGATTGAAAGTTTCTTGGTCTTAACTCACAGAACATTCTGCTTTCAAGTTAGACTTTTTAAAGAAAGTTCAAAGGGGAGTAATAATCAAACAGACCCACAGGTTCCCTCAGTTAATTCATTACTACTTTTTCCCTGCCTCAATTCTTCAGTTATTGTTGTTCACAAGAATTATAATAAAACTTTACTTAAAAAATTTTTGTTCCCTGAGTTATTAGATGGGTAGTTCAAAAGTGCTTTATACGTAGGTAGATTTGCCATGAAGCCAGTGAAACAAGTTCTCAAACAGGGCATGCTTTTTAATCATCTGCTAGGTATCAATATCAAGCTAGGTAGGCATTGTGGAAGTTGCATAAGAAAGATTGTGGGCAGAAAGCACTCCTGGAAACTAAAACTTAATTAGGTAAGGAGGTGAAACCACACAAGCGCTAGCTAAGGCAGAACAGAAGAAAATAGGACTGGAAAAATGGAAAATCTGGGAGAAAGGAATGCTTTTCAGGGCTGGAGTTACTCGGGGCTTTGAGAATTAGGATTGGTGATGATTCTTAAGGCATAGGTAAATGTTCAAAGTTTACTAAAATGTAGGAACAGAGGGAGAAATAAGGAGATGAGAGTGGTGAAGTCGGAGGGCATGCAGGGCATGCAGGAAAGAAGACTGTTTCACAGGAGCGAGACAAGAGAATTTCAAGAAAGAGTAGGTGTGTGGATTAAATGTGTTACCCTTTACCCCATCAAGAGGTCCAGTCTCTCTTCACCCCTTGAATCTGGGCTGGCCCTGGACCCTGTACTGAAAGTGGTAGAGGTGACATGCGAATTTCAGATTCTAAACCTCAGAGGGTCTGGTCACGTCTGCCTTCACCAGCTGGGGATGCTGCCCTGTGTCTGACATGCGAAGAAGCCACTTAGCCTCCTGAAGGATGAGCAGCCACGGGGAAAACAGCCAAAAACACCACTGACAGCCAGCACCTGCTGCCACCTGTTTGACATGGTCATGGGTCCTCCTGCCCAGGCAACCACATGGGTGAGCCCAGGTAGAGCAAGCAGAGGCATCACCTGGCCAAGCCAAAGAGTCGTGGGAAATAGTAAATGGTTGTTTTCAGCCATTGCATTCAGGATGCTTTGTTACACAGCAATGGGCAACCTGGTGTGAAACAGGCATAAAGACAATGAAAATGAAGGAACACCAATAGATTTAGAAGTCATTGGTGTCCTGGCCTCTCAGTTCTGGAAAAGACCTGAAGCTGTTGGGCATGTTGCCAGTTTACGGATGGATACATTGAGTTATCCAGCTCTGACACCATTAGTGATTTCAACTGTGTGCTTGTAATTCATGGTCTGGTTCAGATTCTACTGCTCGTCCAGAAATGCAATCATTTTGGCTTCACCTTGCAGAGAGCCAGATCCTGCCAAGGTATATCCAGACTTCCTGACAATTTTATTTCTTATTGTAAATGAATCGTTTTCATTTTATTTTTTAAAAAACAGGGCCTCATCTGTATCAAAACTTAGCCTTATGAGTTGAGATTTACCTGATGGCTAAAATGGAGAGGATTTTTTTCTTCTGCTTTTTCTAGAGTAAATGCTTTTAAAATGTATGCCTTTTTAAAGTACACGAAGCACAAAGTGAAAATTTCCCATAGTCTTACTGAACTACACCCCCCAATAAACCAGAATTAGCAGTTTGATCAGTATAAATATATATGCACACCTTTGCTCACCACCAATTCATCTATCAGGTTTATTCTTCTTTCGGGTAAAAGCTGAGAAATCACTATGCCCACAATTTCTGTAAACATGTCTGTCTACTGTTTTGAAAGTATTTTTAAAAGGAAGTCACAACTATGAAAATGCAGCGCCCCCTCCCCATTATATTAAAACCCAAGAAAAGAATCCCTACGTTTCTAAATGAAACAACTTAATCCCAGGACAAGTAACAAGTTCTCTTTCATCACCTCTTTCCCAGCCATGGTTTTGGCAGTAAGAGCTGCTATGAGAAAAGGGAGTTTTTACAGACCACTTGTAAGTTAAATTGTGTAACAGTCTCTCCAATGCAAAATGTATTTAACCAAATTTCTATATGCCTATTCATATAAGAAACTTTATCTTTCTTAAAATTACCCTAAACATGCAGTATTTAGAGTTTGAAGCCTGAAAGTTTTTTCTGCTAATCTTAGCTTGAACAAGTGTTTAGGACTCAGAGACCTGTAAGTCTGACAGAGGCACAAAGACTGAGGCCAAAGGTCCTAGCACAGGGTGAACAGGGTATCCCAGGACCTGCCCCAAATCCCAAACAAAACTTCCTGTAGGGGAGTGGGAGGCTACAGAAATGGAGGAGATTCTGTGATGGTTACTGAGTAGCATTCTCACTTGTTGGGAAGAAATGGTTTTTCCACTTCCTTAGCAGAATCACCCAAGTTGAAGGTGAGGCAGGGAAATCAGAATTCTGCACTGAGACATGGTCTTACACCAAGGAGACTATCCTAAAATCATTTCAGGTATTTTTACTTAGTTGTACATAAAAGCTGCATGTTTGACCAAAGAGTATTATTCAGAAACCAATGCTCGCAATACTTACACTTTTGCTAGCTCCATTGATATTTGTTCCAAAGAGCATCCCTTTGTCTCAGGTATAAACACAACAACAAAAAGCAGGGATGCTAGACTCATGAGTGTATATATAAAGCACACCCACGGCAGGCCAATCAGATCTACAAAGAACAAATGGATGTGATTAGAACAATGTGTGTTTCGTGTGGCTTTCATCCCATTTGTGAACCACCACTTCTTATGGCATATCTAAAGCTATTCGCATTTCAGACATGCCAGTAGTATCCAGGGACATGGGACTCACAAGTTAAACATGTAGCCAGCTCTGAAAAACGACCTCAGCTTTCTCTGATAAAGTAAGTAGCAGTCTTGTAACTATCACAATTCAAACCCACTGCCATCCTCTTGGTGGGCATGTCTTCCTTTTCAAAATGGCAACGCACATTTATTAATGCCAAAAAAAACCACATGCTCACTGCGGAAAGAGAACCTTAAGAGACACAGAAACATAATGAGGAAGGTAAAATGTCTTCTCACCCTCCACAGTTCCCCTCTTGGGGATAACTACTATAGCAGTTTGGTGTCTATTTGAATTTTTAATGACCAATTTGTGTAGATGGACTTTTCTTGAGATGAGCTCACCCTTCTTTACTCTGATTTGAATAAATCATTTCACGCTGGCAAGATTTCATCATTTTTAAATAGCTGACAGTGTATGTGTAATGCTTCTTATTGGCTTCAGAGGAAAAGTGAACGTGGGCCCAGCGAAAGGCATCAACTTGCCAAAATGCATTGCAAGAAGCAGGATCCTCAAGATGGCTCTCACCTGCCAACCTACTTATTCCTCTCACCACTTCCAGCCAATGAAACAGGTCCTCTGTTGTCAGGGCCAAAGATCAAGGTACATTCAATGGTGAACGGTGGTCCCCAGGGCACTTGAGCCTGCCATTTGTGTTTTGCCGGCCCCAGCAGAAAGTCCCGTGTGGCAGGGAGCAGTAGTGAGAAAGAGGCCAGCTCTTTTGGACTTAGGCTTAGACTACAAATGACATTTGCCATTTGCAAATAGCCTTTTGCAGCTGCAATCACAAACCTCTCAGTTGGTCAGGCAGGAGAACTGACTATGCGGTTGTGTACTTAGGAGGTGTTTGTAAATGTAATGGGGAAGAATTGAAACATAGTAAACACGTTTCCTTGAGCTATGCTGAGGTGGGGAGAAGCAGGAAGAAGGAAGAAGCACTGCAGTTCCTTTGGCAATGTTCATTCAACTCTCTCTCTCTCTCTCTGTGCTTTTCTTGTTGCTGGCACAGGGTTTCGCCTGTGCTTGTGGAATTGGGTCTTCTTCCCTCTCTGGAGCATAACACCAGAATATAGAAATTGTAAGAACCTCAAGCGTATCTCATCAAACTCATCCCCAGTTCTGTTTCAGCACTTTCAGGAACAGGGTGCTCACCACTTCACAAAGCCTCTCACTGCCTCGGGAGACAGCTCTGTCCGTTAGAAAGGCATTCCTTATTTAGATCCCAAATCTACCTTTCCTAAGTTCTGCTTTGTCCTCTAGCATGACATACATTGAGTCAGCTCTCCATACCCCTCTCCATGACAGCTGTTCAAGTATTTGAATGCACTTCCTCCCTTCTCTGAGTATCTTGTCCAAGTCAAACCTCCTGACCGTTCCCAAACATTCTTCACAGAGCAGAGGTCACTACCATCATCATTTGGGTCACCCCCCTTTGGTGGACACTGCAATTTTTAAACAACCTTCTCCAAATATTTTACTCAGAGCTGAACACAATACTGCAGTTGGGTCATGAGCACTTTGGAGTACATTTGTCTATCTGGAACAGTCTGCTTTTATTGATACAGCTGAAATCGCATAGAAATGTTGGTATTCAATGGCTTGCTGCCACGTAGAGCCTCACACCTTTTAGGTCTCTCTAGCCCACACTTGGAAAATTGGTCTTTGAAGACAAGTAGAAATTTTCAAGCATTCCAATTAAATGTCATCTAAAGATTTTAGATCAATCCGGGTTTTAAAAATTTTTTTTTTCAAAGAAAGAAAAGTTTATTTAAAAGTAAATTTGAGAGAGAAAGAGAAGGGAGAGAGGAGATTCACCTTCCAAAGGTTGGGGAGGGGGCCAAAGCCAGGAAGCATGGTAACAGCCATAGCTCAAAGAGCATGTGGCCACACCAGAGGCTGGCAAGGCAATGACCGCTGGCTGCTGTGGTTGAGTCCTTTTAACCATTCCCCTTGATGGGGGAAGATCATTAAGGTGATTGGGTGGTGGTCTGCTCCACATCATCAAGGAGATCTGTTTTCCTAACATTTGCTCTAAAAGTCCACTCAGGAGCACTTCTAAATCCTCATCAGGCCATCCAATTAGCTAGCCTTCCTAAAGATTTGTGTCATCATTTTTCTTCCCTCATCATTTCCATTATTTATCTGATATTTCGTTTTCTCCACACCAAACAGTAGATGAAGGATATGTGTGTGTGTGCTTGTGCACCTGCATCTGTACACACGTGTGTGTATATGCATATGCACACACATGCATATGAAGATGAAGGGTATATGAAGGGAAGTCTATGTGTGTGATCTGAGTAGGAGAAGTATGGTCAATGCTAATGACTAGTTTCATATATATATCTACATGTAGATATATAGATAGATATGCTAGCTTCATATATTTAATCTATCTAGATAGATTCTATCTATTCTAGATAGAGAGATTAGATATATGAAATGAAGAAACTGGGTCATTTGTCTCATAGAATTTTCCACAGTCTGGATTTTGTTATTGTAGTTAGCTTGCATATCCCTTATATACAGATGAAATAAAGAAATCCCAACTCACTGGTCAGTTTTCGAGGATGCTGGGGAACCACTGCATTATTTTGAAACTAGAAAATAAGAGAAAGTTTCAAGCATATATCTTGCCTTTTTTACATGCTCCACATTTCAGGGTAGCCAAATAGCTAAGAAGAAGAAATTTCTCTTTATGGAGGTATTTCAGATAAAGTTTTAGAAGAAATAATATCATGAAAATAATGGATGGGGAAGTGATCACCAAAGGAAACCAATATGACAGAGTAGAGACAACCAGACCTAATGTGCTTCCTGATGGCAGGACACACAGCATCACCTGTGCAGGAGTTTGCTGACAACCAAAATTTGAATCTCCTCGGCAGGGTGCAGTGGCTCAAGCTTGTAATCCCAGCACTTTGGGAGGACAAGGCAAGAGGATTGCCTGAGCCCAGGGGTTCGAGACCTGCCCGGGCAACTTGGTGAGATTTTTGTCTCTACAATGAATCAAGATAAATTAGCCAGGCGTGGTAGTATGTGCCTGTAGTTCCAGCTACTTGGAAGGCTAAGGTGAAAGGATCGCCTGAGCCCAGTAGGTCAAGGCTGAGGTGGCTGTGAGTGTGCCACTGCACTCCAGCCTGGGTGGCAGGGTGAGACTCCAACTCAAAAAGAAAAAAATCTCCAGCTGGGCATGGAGGCTCACTCCTATAATCCCAGCACTTTGGGAGGCTGAGGTGAGAGGATTGCCTGAGCCCATGAGTTTGAAACCAGCCCAGGCAACTTGGCGAGACCTCATCTCTACAGTAAATCAAGAAAAATTAGCCAGGCGTGGTAGTACATGCCTATTCCAGTTGCTTGGAAGGCTGAGGAGGAAGGATCACTTGAGCCCAGCAGGTCGAGGCCGCAGTGGCCGTGAACATGCTACTGCCTTCCAGCCTGGGCGACAGACTGAGACTCCTACCCCAAAAAAAAGAAACTCCTCAAGCCTCTGTCTAGATTTAATAGCAATTTACAGGAAACACCAAAGACAGAGGACACGCAATCTCACTATAATCAACAAAATCCAGTTGGAAAGTTCTGTGAAATAAATGATTTTTAATTTCATTAAAAACATAAGATGAGATGAGGGAAATGGAGATGAAACCTACAAGTTATGAGACACATCAATCAATTTTAAATTATGTATTGGAGTCATGATTCAGACAACATATAAAAAATGTAAGGCAACTGGAAGAATGTGAACATAGACTGGATATTCAAGACTAAGGGATTGATAAAGTTCGGATATTTATTCTCTCCAAGTCTCATGGTAAAATGTGATCCTGGCCATTGCCTTGCTAGACTCTGGTGTGGCCCTGTGCTCCGTGAGCTATGGCTGTCGCCGTGCTTCCTGGCATTGGCTCCCTCCCCTACCTTGGTGAAGTGAATCTCCTATGTCTCTCTTTCTAATTTACTTTTTAAATAAGTTATATTTCCTAATCTTAAAAAAATAAATGTGATCCCCAGGGTTAGAAGTGCGGCCTCCTAGGAGGTGTTTGATTCACAACAGCAGACCCCTCATGAATGACCTTATGTCATTCTCACAGTAATGAGTGAGTTCTCACTATGTTAGTTCATGCGAGAGCTGGGTGTTTAAAAGAGCCCAGCACCTCCTCTCTCTTGCTTCCATTATCACCGTGTGACATGCTGTCTCTCCTTGATTTCCACCACGAGTAAAAGCTTCCTAAGGCCTCACCACAAGCCAAGCAGGTGCCAGTGAGTCAAATAAACTTCTTTTCTTTACAAATTACCCAGCCGCAGCATTCCTTTATAGCAGCACAAAATGGACTTACACTGGGGTGATTATTAGTATTTTAGGTGTGATAATGATATTCTGGTTATATTTTTTAAAGTCTTATCTTTGAAAGGTTCATGCTGAAATTTGACAGACAAGATGACATATTTATGGGATAAAACTCAAAATAACTTGATGGGGAAAGAACAGATGGGGTTATAAGTACATTCAGATTGAGAACAGTTTATATAGATAGGGTCATGGGCACATCAGGGTCATGGCCATTCTGAACCATGGACATTCTGAGCGTGTTTGAAATTTCTACCATAAAGTGGTTTTTAGGTGGGTTCGCTTTCCTAACAGTTGGCATTAGAGGAAAGCTAAGAGATCTTACCGGTGACCGTCAAAAATGTCAGAGAGATGAGGAGATTGATGCCCCAGTTCATGCTAGAAGTGACAGCCATGGCGCGTCCTCTAATCCCACCAGGAAAGATCTCGCTGAGCACCAGCCAGGGCACTGGAAGAAAGGGGACAGGGGGTGGGAGCAGCAAAATTAGCAAAAACCCATGGACTCTGAGGGCACAGTCACTGATGTCTCAGCCCTTGTTCTGCTTGGATATGTGGTTGGGGAACAGGGCTGGTTCCTAGCTCTGCAGGACATGACAGAAAAGGTATGTGCCTTCTCTTCACCTATGACAGAGGGATTAAGGGCTCAGGAGAAACACCTGGAAAGGCTGACTTGGTGCCCAGCGTAGGGAAGCAACATGAAGGGCTGGTGCCCAACACAGGCCTGAGAAATGCAAATGAAGGCAGCAGTGGCTGGGCCACCTGCCTGGCAGCGACAAGGAAGCCAGCTATGGACACCTGCCAAGCACAGGAGTCTCTGTGCCAGAGCCCAGCTGTACCTGCTTTAGGACCATACCCTTCTCGTACTCTTTCCACCGACCCCAGATAAGTAAAAAAACACAGCTTGTAATCAGGCAACAAATAGAGCCAGAGGAAGCCAAACTCTCCCTGCTCCCATGTGGACTTCCCTGCCTGATGCAAGCTGGGTGGAGAGAAGTTCTAAATCATATACAGCTCCTACATTTGACTACTGTTACCAGAATAGACAGCTGAATTTCTGAAGGGAGAGTTCTCTTGGCACCAAAACTCCTCAGAGGGCTTTTTATTATCTGGGAGTGACAGGAAACATCACGGGGCCTGCCTGATGGGATTAGAAAGGGCAGCAGAGGCCAAGCTCAGTGGCTCGGCCTGTAATCCCAGCACTTTGGGAGGCCAAGGCGAGTGGATTGCCTGAGGCTGCAGGTTCGAGACCAGCCTGGACAACTTGGCGAGACTCGTCTCTACAACAAATCAAAAATTAGCCAGGCATGGTAGTGCATGCCTATAGTTCCAGCTACTTGGAAGGCTGAGGTAGAAGGATCACCAGAGCCCAGCAGATCGATGCTGGGGTAGCCATGAGTGTGCCACTGCACTCCAGCCTGGGCGACAGAGTAGACTCCAACTCAAAAAAAAAATCTTTGAAATGAATGACAACAATGATCAAGTTATCAAAACCTCTGGGACACAGCCAAAGCTGTGCTCAGAGGAAAATGTATGGCACTTAAAGCCTACATCAATAAGACTGAAAGACTGCATATTGACAACCTAACATCACACCTCAAGGAAATAGAAGAACAAGAACAAATCAAACTTAAAGCTAGCAGAAGAAAAGAAAAAAAAATAACAAAGATCAGAACAGAACTAAATGAAATTGAAATAAGAAAAGCAATACAAGCTGGGCTCAGTGGCTCAGCCTGTAATCCCAGCACTTTGGGAGGCCGAGGCAAGTCCTGCGGGTTCAAGACCAGCCCGGACAACTTGGCAAGACTTCGTCTCTCCAATAAATCAAAAATTAGCCAGGCATGGTAGCGCGTGCTTCTCTGCTGCTACTTGGAAGGCTGAGGTAGAAGGATCACCAGAGCCCAGCAGGTTGACACTGGGGTGGCCGTGAGTGTGCCACTGCACTCTAGCCTGGGGGACAGAGTGACACTACAATTTAAAAAAAAAAAAAAAGAATAAGAAAAAAAAGAGCAGCAGAGAAGCAAACTAACTTGTCTTCTGTCATAGCTTATCAAACCTAGTTTGCCTAATAAAACAGCTATGATTTCTTACTGTGGGCTTTTACAAACATTTTTACTACATTGTCTCATTTGATCCTCACAGATCCTTACAAGGCAGGAGATATTACTATCCCACTTTTATGGAAGAGGAAACTGAGACTTTAGAGGAGTTATTAACTTGCCAAGGTTACAGAACTCAGAAGTGACAAAGATAGCACTATCCTTGGCAGTAGACCTCTGGAACTCATGTTTTTTAATCACTGTGCTCTCTTGATATCGGCTCAATAAGTTCTTGTCAATTAATAAATAAATGTGGAGTTGTAAACATCTTTGATTCTGTGGAAAGAAGGACTTAGAACCTGCCCCAGCCCTGGCTCACTGCTGGCTAGTTTGCCATGTGTTCACAAGTCAGCACTAATATACTGACCAACTATATAATCCTAGCCCAGAAGAGGGGATGGGAAGAAGAAAACTAGAAGCCAGGGAGGAATCTCCTCCGGCCAGCAACCACTCGGGCTGCCTTTGCTAGAATCAAGCAGTCAGCTGTGCCTCTAACTTAAAATTTGCCTCTCATGACAAGAGGAAACATCTATAGAGAAAACATCTGCTCCGAGTAAATGTGCCGCTTTAAAGTAAGAAAAAATGAATTGCAGAAGAAGTCTTTTTCTTCTGATTATCTTCTCAGAGTAAATCTACACAAGGTTACCCATAAGACATGAAAGATAACTGTAATAAAAGCAGCATAATTATTTCTATTCTAATTAATGGGGAATTCACAAATAAAATTCCATATCTGCCAACTCTCATCTCACCTCTCTTTCCCACCCCGGTCCACCCCAAAGATCTCCACTAGATTCATGCAGATTATAGCTTTGATAAAATCACTTTTCTCTTCATGAGACCAGTTTCATGCTCAGGTAACCCCGTCTCAAGCTTTGCAAGACTGAGGATCTGGCTCTGAGTAGAATATCTGCATAATTCTGGTGAAGTCTTTGCAAAGAAGACCTGTCTTTTGCAAGATAAAATTATTTAAGTATAATTTTTAAGCTAAATAATCTCTGCCATAGACAAAACTTCCAGGCCCCTTACTGCCATGGACATTAGACCATGTGTCAGGTGGAGCTGAGGGTCCTTTATTGGCTGTGAAGAGGTGCTAGGAGAGGGGCATGTGTTTTATTTTAGGAGGGGAGTTAACTCGGGTCCTCTTGATTCCAAACTTCCATCCTTACCTCTCAAACTCCCTTCTTCCTCTCCCCACCTTTCATCATGGTGGACTCATTTGGTAGGGTTTTGGGAGAATCATTGCTGGGCTCATCAGTGTCACATTGTTCTCAGATGAGAACAAGTTGATCCTGCTGTTGTAGAAAGGGGTGGATCTCACCAACAAGAAGATGGGACAGTTGCACAAAACACTAGGATATGTGCTCAGTCTGAACTGCCAGGGTCTTGCCTAGAAAAACTCAAGATTCATACTGCAAGCCTGTCCTAGGCACGCACTGAGTGCAGCAACTGAGCCAAATCCTTGGGTAGTTTAATGAGACAGCAATCAGTAACTGAATATTGAAAAAGAGACTTCCCTCAGACTCTGTTCTGATGGAAACTTGTCAGGCAAGTCCTGTACTTGACATTTCTAAAATGATCGTATCATTGCTTAAAGCATCTACATATATATATATTTTTTTGAGTTGGAGTCTCTCTGTCGCCCAGACTGGAGTGCAGTGGCCGCTCCCGGCCACCGCAGCC